AGAAGTGGGAAGTTACATCATTTATTGATTTTAGTTAATGTTATTCAAATAATAACACTCTTATATAACACTTGAATGTTTGCAAAGAGCTTTCTTCTCAATAATCCATTCTCCAGAATAAAGCCATTCTCCTGTACAAAATTGTCAAAGGTTATGAACAGGAAGTTTTCAGGGAAAAAAATCCAAGCTATCAGTAGCTATATGAAAAAACACTACAAATCTTATAACAAAAATGTAAATTTCTAGTAATAGAAATGCAAATTTTAAAAACTCTTGAGACTCTACCTCATGCCTTTCAGTTTGACATACTGACATACAGTTGGTAGAACCATGAATTGTTTATTATCCTCAAAGTCACTAAACTGTACATAGCCTTTTTCTGCATTTGGTAGTGAGGTTTTTAATGCCCTAATACATGGTCAGTTCCTGTGTAGGTGCCATGTACCACTGAGGAAAATGTGTAGTCCTTTCTATTCCCATTTTTCTCCAGGGGTTTATCATATCTAACTTTTCTAAAATTCTATTCATGTCCTTAACTTCTTTCTTGTTTATTTTTTGGTTAGATTTATATAGTTCTGAGAGGGGAAAGTTGAGGTCCCCCACTAGTATAGTTTTACAGTTTATTTCCTCCTGTAACTCATTTAATGTTTCTTTTTAAGAATTTGGATGCTATAGGATTTGGTGCATATGTTTAGTGTTGATATTACTTTATTGTCTATGGTACCTTTTAGCAAAATATAGTTTCCTTGCTTATCTCTTTTAATTAGATCTATTTTTGCTTTTGCTTTGTCTGAGACTGATATCCTTTGACTCATTGATAGTACTACTAGGCTTACACTCTAATGATCTTAAGAAAGAAGAAAAAGATCTATGTGACAAAAAGGAAAAATGACAGTTGTTGGAAGGACTGTGTAAGGACTAATGTACATTTGGTGGAACCATGAATTGTTTGTTGTCCCCAGAGTGGCATAACTGTGCATAGCCTTTGACTTGATAATACTACTTCTAGGCTCATACCCTAAAGATATCAAGAAGAAGAAATGGACCTATATGTACAGAAATATAGCAGCACTATTTGCCTTTTTTATTAAGTTTTTAAAAAATTTTAAACTTAATATCCTAAAAAAGGCCATTTCCATATATGTAGTAGAACAGAGAAAGCTTGCACATGAAACTGTGGATCTGTTATATACAGCTTGCTTTTCTTTTTAAATATATAAGTTCAACATACAGCTTTCAAAGCTGTTTGACTTGTCTCTAATTCTGCCCATATTTCTGTCTTAAATTTCTGTATATTAAAAAAAAAATGTGCTTCATTGACCCCTCTTGTTTCCTTCTCTCTCTCCCTCTGTTTCTTCTTCCCTTCTCTCCCTCCCATTCTACCTCTTAAATTGGGGGGGGGGATAAAAAAAAAAACCTATGTAACAAATATGTATAGTCAGAACATTCCTTTGTTGTCTGTGTCTGAATCAATATATCTTTATTTATGAAAAATGTATCTTAATCTGCATCTTGAGTCCATTACCTGTCAGTAAGTAGATAGCATGCTGGATAAACTCAGTCCTTAGGAATCATGGGTGGTTATTGCATTGATCATAGATTTTTAAGTCTTCCAAGGTTTTCTTTACAGTGTTGGCATTATTGTGTAAGTTGTTTTTCCAGTTTTGCTTACTTTACTCTGTACCAGTTTATTCAAGTCTTCCTGGTTTTCTCTGAAACCATCCCTTTTGTCATTTTTACAGGGCAGTAATATTCCATTCCATTCATATACCATAATTTGTTTAGTCATTTCCCAATTGATGTGCACCTCTTTAGTTTTTGGTTCTTTGTTATAGTTAAAAGAATTTGTATAATAGTATCTGTATAAACTGCTGAGGTAGCTTAGATAGCTCAATGGATAGAACACTGGTCTGGAGTCCGGAAGACCTGAGTTCAAAAGACCTGAGTCCAAATCTGGCCTAACACTTACCAGCTGTGTGCCCCTGGGCAAGTCAGTTAACCTTTTTTGCTTTGGAGGCAGCCAGGTGGCTCAGTGGATAGATTGCTGGATCTGGAATCAGGAAGACCTGAGTTCAAATTTGGCCTCAGACAGTAGCTGTGTGACCCTGGGCAGGTCACTTAACCTCTGTTTGCCTTAATCCACTGGAGAAGGAAATGGAAAACCACTCCAGTATCTTTGCCAAGAAAACCCCATACAGGGTCACAAAGAGTCAGACACAACTGAATGACTGAACAACAATATGAACTAATAAAGAGTTGAATGAGCAGAATCAAGAGAATGATTTTATACAATGACTATAATATTGTAAGGAAAAACAACTTAATTGACTTAAGAACTCTGATAAGTGCAATAGCCAAACATGACTCCTCAGTGTGAGGAAGAAGTATTTCTGACAGAACAGTGATGAGTTTGAGATGTAGAATGAGACATTTTCAGAGATAAGCAATGTGAGGATTTGTTTTGCTTGGCCATTCTTGTTTGTTAGATGGGAGAGTTTGTTTTTAATTAGGAGGAGGTTTGGGAGTTATAGGGTGGTTGGCATAGTGATACCAGAAAAAGAAGAAATGAAAGAAAAGAGGATTATTGAAGCCTTTTTAAAAAAAAAAATATACAAAAGTAAACAGGAGGAAGTTCAGAGGAAGACAGACAAGGAAGATAGCTTTGAAAGCAATGTTTTGAAATTATTCCATACTTTTTTAAAAAGAAAGCCATACGTAATAGAGATGTGTTGTGTGCCTTTTATATGGAAACATTCATATTTATTGGTATTTGTCAAATTCAGTGTAGCACAACCATCTGGAGCTGCTCAACTAACCTCCACTCTCACTGAAAAACTCTGTCCCTAGGTGACTGCTACTTCTCCTCTCAGAATCCTCTAGACTGGAGGTTTCTAGGGGGATAGGTGAGTGTCTTTTTGATGCTATAGCTCATGAGCTCTCACTGGGTTGCTTCTCCCATTGATTATCAGTTGATAACAATTAGTTAGCCAGATTCAGTTAGCTTTTAGAAATGGGTATTTACTAAAAATGGAATAGTATGAAGAATTAATACAAAATATTTCCCCAAACTGTCCCACTGGGCACTGTCCCACAAATATATAAAGGGTCCGAGGGAACATGGGCTCAAACTTAGAACACATATGGCAAAGGGGCTAACATAGCTACTGGAATTACTTTTGTTGGAAATAGTTTTCTCCTTTTTGTGGGACATCCATGAAGTACTCTTAAGGGATGGTCTAGTTTTCCTCAGGGTTCCTTGTAGAATCTTGAAGCTAAGTTTCTCTGGTGTGTCTATCTTGCCCTTAGTGCCTGATGAAAATGGTGACATCAGCTGTTCTAGGGATGCTGCTAGGACATGAATAGACAGTCTAAAACCTAGGCCTTTCAAAGTTTGTTGTCATGCTCTATTCGAGGATTAGGGTTGAGGGAGAAGAGACACAGGCTCTTGTCTTCCTACCTTGTGATTCCTTCTCTTCCCTCATACCAAGTAATTTCCTTTCAGGGGCTGGACTGGAACTGTTCTCTCTTCTGATGGGCCAGACACCTGAATGAAGGGGTCCAAACTGAATTACTGTGTCATAGAAGACCTACCAGGCATATAACATGGCATACATTAATTTAATGCCTCAAATTGAATAGAAGTATTCTCACCTATAAAAGATATCAGAGATGGAATATTTTACTACTTTAAGTGGCATGGATTGATTGACTCAGTTGATCCTTGCATAGCAATAAGAAAAAAAAAGATTTTAAATAACCTTGTGAAATAAGTAGTATGAGTTTTGTTTTCCCTGTATTTCAGATGGTGAATTTGAGTCTCTCAGAGGTGATGATTTGCCTATGGTCGGACAGTAAACTTCTGATATGGGACTTAATCTCAAGTTCTTTGATTCCAAGACTCTTTACCTCATGCCAGTTAGGTAAAACAGTGTGGTGTAGTGGAAAAAAATACTGGATTTGGAATAAGAGGACGAGGATTCCAATTCTGTAGCTTAGCTACTTGTCATGAAACCTTGGGAAAAACACTCGGTTTTTTCCTCTGTAAATGAAGGGGTTGAAATAGACCAGGGATTCTTAACCTGGTGACCATGAACTTGTTAAAAAAAAAAATCAATAATTATGTTTCAATGTAATTGGTTTCTTTTATAATCCTATGTATTTTATCTTATGTATTTAAAAACATACTGAGAAAGGGTCCATAGGCTTTTCCAAATTGTCAAAGGGGTTCATGACACAAAAATGGTTAAGAACCTCTGGACTAGATCTCTGAAGTTCCTTCCAGATCTGAAATGTTATGATTCCGTGAAGGTAGTATTTAAAGACTGATTTTATTTAACAATTTAGTGAGTATTATAGTTTAAAAAGTTTTCCGAGGCAAGGGTGTATCTTCTTGTTTCTTATCCCTGTGCCCAGGCAGAAAACCTACCAGCTCAATTCCACAAGTACTTATTGAAAATATACTATATATAAGGCACCAAGTCTCAGATACCTCTTTTTTTAAAGGCTATAATCTCCTTTATTCCAAAAATAAATATTTTACCTTTGAGTTGATATTTCAAATCATGTGAAGCACAGAGACGTACAGTCCCTTTGGAAGTGGTGAAGCACATGTATGAAAGTCATAGGAACTATGCTCTCGATGACAGGGATGAGTGGAAAGCTGATTGATACAGATTTATGGCATGGCAGATTTCTCCTTTCTCCAGGTGGAGCTACATATGCATTAGTTTTAGAAAGAAACACCCCTTTTTTAAGTCTGAAAGGCACATGAAGTGGACTATAAGATGTATGGCACATTTCACAGATAATACATTTCCTATTATATTCCAAGAGAACTGAGAATCTTTAATCAAGCCTAAGGCCAGAGGAGATAAGGAGCTTCAGGCTCAGTAGCATTAAAGTCTCTGAAATTGGAAGCAGTTTTTTTTTCTTTTTTGGCTTTTCTTTTCTGCCTCTCCTGATCTAGTACTTTCCAGTCCTGAGATAGGGTGAGGTATGGCTCACTCAGTGATGGTGGGGCGTGTGGCCACGTGGACACCACGATCAGGACCACCACCACGGCCAACTTAGGCAGCACAGCGGTGGTGATCTGCTGCCTGACTTCCTGCATGGCTTGCTTCCACTCCTTCTTAACTTTTGAAGTCTCCTTCTTGGGTTTCCCTTTGAGCTGCCTCATCTTTACCAGGAGGACCCTGGGAAAGCTTTCCCAGAACTGGGTGTTAAGAACAGTGTCTTGTTCGTCCTGTTTCGGACTTGCTGCTTTCTGAGTGAAGACCAGTAATCCCCGCTACCAAGAAGGCTGAGGATGGAGGATCTCTTGAACTCTGGAGTTCTGAATGGGAAGCTACCAGGTTGCCAGCCAGAAAACCCTGGAGATTCCAGGCAGACCAGAGTTCTCTGGCCCACTCGGCTTCCTGCCTCACCCGCCGTGGCTGGGTGGAATACGTGGCAAGAGCTGCTGGTGCTTTCGCTCCCTCTCCTCTCCTCAGCCCTGGCATGCTGGACATGGGAACGTCAGATACTTGTTAAAAGATGATTTGTTACCAAACTTTGTATTGTATTCCACTTATTTCTTTTTATTATATAAAGAAAAATCATTTAAAATTAACCCAATACAAACATCAAACGCAGAGCTAGACAGGACCTCAGTGGGAGGATCCAAGTTGAGGAAACCAAGGCCAGAGAGATTAAGTAATTTGTCCAGGTAGTTAGTGGAAGAGATAAAGTTTAAACTCAGGTTCCCAGACTCTATATCCTGTAGTCTTTCCAATGTATGATGATTCAAAAGTTAACATTTCTTTGAAAATTACCCCTTAAATAGTGGTAAAAAAAAAAAAAACAACCAATTAGTTTTCTTCGATAACCAACTGAATCTCAGTGAATTCCTAAATAAAGTGAAAGAATTCAATCATAAATTTCAAAAGTACCTATATACTATATGTAATATAGTAAATGTAATATAAATATATAAATAAATAAGTATTCAAAAATGTTACACAGTAATTCACCTCCTGAGGGATGAAAAATATGAGCATTTAAGTATGAAAGCTACTTTCTTAGAAACTAATGTTTTGGAATTTTCATTATAAGGAGACTGATAAAGAATTAATTTGGTTACCTAACAAGGAAATACATTCTTTTGGGGATGCCAAATCTGAGCTTCTTTCATTGGGAAAAATTGGATAAAGGGAAGCTGAAGAACTAACACTGAATTTCTTTCTTTCTTGCTTTCTTTTTTTTTTTTTAAGGCAATTGGAGTTAAGTGACTTGCCCAGGGTCACATAGCTAGTAAGTGTCAAGTGTTTGGTCTGATGCCAGATTTGAACTCAGCTCCTCCTGATTCCAGGGCTGGTGCTCTATCCACTTACTGAAAAATTTCTTACGGATTATAGGAAGAGCTAAAAGGAAACTTGGGAGATCAGCTAGTCCAGCTCCTTCATTTTGCAAATGAGGATGATCAGTCAGTGTTAAACATAATTTAATTTGAACTTTGAAGTATTTGATTCTCTGTGTTTTCCCCTTGCATCCGTGTGGTGAAATTGCCTGGGCAAACAATACACTTAACATTGGATAAATAGAATATTATCTGCTTCTCATGGTAAAAATTAAAGTACAGTTTGGTGGAATTAGCAGATAAGAAGTATTTTTTACATCTTAGTCTTTGACTTGATTTCCTGAAACCCCTGTGCAGTATGCTATATTTCTGATATGATAATAAATTCTCTTGTCACTTTTTCCATTAGAAAGTCATCTATCATAAAATCATAGATCTAAAATGTATAGTTCAGATGTAATAGGATCCTGTTTTTATTTAAGCAGTGTATTTTCAACTTTGCATTTAAAGCTTTGGGTGTAGGAAACTGTTACCTACAGTTTGGGACTGATGTTTGGGCTTTCAAATCTGTAATTTGGAGCATTTCCTTTTACTTTGAAGGTGTAGTGTCTTTGGGACTAAACTCTGGAATGAAAGCTGTGAAGGAGTTGATCCTAAGACTGAAAATTTTGAAGTTGAGCCTGAGAACTATCTTTCCTATAAGTATTAAATTTGACCCCTGCCTCATTACTGTGTGGAGCACAACACTGAGATGGAGTTTTAGAAACATTTTTTTTTAAAAAGCCCATTTTAGAAACAGCAAAGTTGAGAAGTTTTTGTGTAGTAGGTTTGTGTTCTATTCTAAATGAGCAGAAACAACTTAAATTATGGCTATTAAAATTCAAGGGCATACTTTAAAAAAAAATTGAAAAAAAAATACGCTCTTTGAGGGCAGAGATATAGCGTTTTTAGTTGAGTTGAATGTTGTATGCATTTGGTAATTAAATTTATTTTGTTTTGGCTTGAGACTTTATTTTAAAAAATTATTACACACACAAAAATTATTACACACCGTATCTTAGCAGTACAGTGATTTAAAAATACAAATTATGTCTGTTTAAATCCTGTGCATTTAACACATTTTTTTCAGTAAGTACTCTCTATTCATTCCCAATTAGCAGTCCCATCCCATTAAGACAGGATTAAAATACTTTTTTTTAGCACACACACCCACCCACCCACCATGATGGTGGATGCAGTGTTTTTTCATCATTCCTCACTAACATTGTGGTTTAGTGGCTGAGTTCTAATTCAGAGCAGTATCACTACCCAGTAAAAAATTATATTGAAATAAATGTATAGTATCATAGTATGTAATTTTTCTTTTAAGAAAATTAATCTGGCCCACCCACTACCTCAGACCCTTGCTGAACAAATTTAAAAAAATAAACAACTTGAAAAATTAAGCCTTCAATATGTAGCTGCATAGTCAGCAAAACTAATTCCTTTACTGGCCATGTCTGAAAATATTCCTCTTTGCATTTCAAGTTCATCACCTCTGTCAAGGGATGAGTGGTATGTTTTATCTTCATTCTTTTGGATCCATGGTTTTTATCATTATGTTATTCAGGGCTCTAAAGTATTTCAAAGCTGTTTTTATATCACTTCATAGAGATTTTCCCAGTTTACTCTGAAACCATCCATTTCCTCATTTCTGTAATTCACTTTAATAAACAATTCTTATCACTGCTATGTACAAGACTATCAAGTGCTTAGGATGTATGTGTGTGTATGTGTATACATATACATTTGTATTTGTACATATATTATACAAATATGTATATATACATGGATAAATATCCTACATATCTGTATTGTGTATCGTATGCATCTAACTGAGGACTTTACAAAGGGAATATTTATTTCAAAGAGTATAATCAAATAGACAAACCCCCAGCACATGGGAGGCATAATCCTCTCTCTCTCTTTTTTTTCTTTTTTTAGGCAGTTGGGGTTAAGTGACTGGCCCAGGGTCACACAGCTAGTAGGTGTCAAATGTTTGGTCTGAGGCCGGACTTGAACTCAGGTCCTCCTGACTTCAGGGCTGCCGCTCTATCCACTGTGCCACCTAGTTGATATAATTCTCCACCTTCTCCTGCACCACCCCAGTTTCTGGGGAGGGGAAGGGGATTAGATTAATAATTTCATTGGGTTTCCATAGAACACAGCCCAAGTCCAAAACTCCCTTGGATAATGAGTCAGGCACCCTGGCTTCTTAGGGCTTCCACACTGACAAGGCTAGTGGCACCATCCTGACTACAGTCTTGGCTTCAAGGTCACCATGGCACAAACTCCTAGTCTGTGTAGCTCAATTCCATCACCTGAAACAGAGGAGGACATGCAACCCAGCACAGGACCAAACATCCCAGGCCCATTTCTTGGAGCCAGAGTAAAAGAAGTAGAGCAGGGGAAGTTCTTCCCCTCTACATTTGGTGATGAGGTCATTAGTAACCATAGAAAGTCATTACAATAGGGTTGTAGGGATAAAAACCTGATTTCTACGGGTTGAGGAATTAGTAGTGAGGAGGTGGAAGCAGGAAATGTATAATGATTTTTCTAGAATTAACAAACAAGCATGTATTAAACATCCTCTATATACTAGGTACTGTGATAGGTTCTAGGGATACAAAGAGGATAAAATGAACAATCTGCTCTGGCGGAACTTAAATTGTGTTGGAGGAGACAACATGTACATATGTAAGTAAATACAGAATAAATACAAGGTTAGTAAAATACAAGGTGTAAAGAATTTGACAGTGAAAAGATGCCGTGAGAGAAATTGATAGCTTGAGGAGGTAGCAAGGTTAAAGAGGCTTTATTTATTTATTTTTTTAATGGGACACCTGAGCATATTTGTACATGGAGAGGAAGAAGACAGTAGAGACACAAAGATTGAAAATGCATGAATCAGGGGAACATGCATTTTTTGAACTCTTTTTTTGTTTCTAAAATATATCATCATTCACATCTGAATTACCTCATTTCATTTAATTTTTAGAGTCTTACTGATGATTGGTTTTATTTTCAAATTTTTCAGGATTTAAGTTTTATTTTTTTTAAAGACTTAAGCCAAAGCACTTTGAACTATGGAAATGTTAGCTATTATTTTTCTTTTCATACAATGTACATAAATTAGTTTTTAAAAATTATTGACCATGGAAATATGTGAATCTTTGGAGTTAAATATTTCTGGTTGGTTTTATCTGTACATCACAGAAACCATTTCCATGTCTGATCGTTAATTTTGCATCTCTGCTCAGTTATTACCTTTGCAGAATTTTTGCATAATTGGTTTTGTGGAACTGCTGTGTCATGGAAGCTCTTAATGGCTATGAGGCATATTTGGCAGCCTAATTTAAGTTCAGGACATAGCTTGGAAATTTAATGTAGAACACCTGACTATATTTGTGGTCCTTTTTAATGCACATTTAATAATGATAATTTAAAATGAATGCTTCATTAAAAGTAATTCACTTATGTGAGTATTAATAATTGTTATGATGTTGGTATCAGGGCCCTGCCCCAATTCAGACACTTACTTAGGACTCTTTGAAAAAAATCGTAGTGTCAATACACTTCGAATAAGAATTTATAATAGTGTAAATATTGCTGCCACTGATTCAAACAGAGCAACAATAAAATCTATAGAAAAAAATCTATTTATGCTTTTTGACATTAAAAGCAAGCAGAGATAATTCTCACTTTAGAAAAATTTTATTTTTTCTCCTTGGATCAAGTCAGAGCACCGTGCCTGACATATTGGAGGTGCTTAAAAAATGTTTGTTGTGGGGGCAGCTAGGTGG